ACTTGGAGGCTTGCTTTCAGCAATATAGGGAAGTATCAAGGGAGCCGTTTGTTTTATAGAGAGCTCATTTCCTATGGGGGAAAATGAGGCTTGTGTGTTCTGAGCCTGCCCATTCTCTGTTGACCACAGCTGTAGAAAGGCTGGCCCACTGATCGGTGCAGCCATACTTTCAAAGCACCACCTGGTGTTTAATGGAAGATTCCCAAATTTCATCAAGTAAACCCTCAAAAGGCTTGAAACCCAAACACCAAGAAAGGGTAATCTATACAGTAGCTTAGCTCTAGCATTCCTCCACTAGTACAGCTGGTGTGCTTTCCAGTTTCAAGAGATTATCCCAGGGAGAAAGTGACTTTATAATCTCCCCAGTAATCACACAACTGTCCCCAAAGCAGGTTAGGGGAGACATTGGTTGCTGTAAGACAATAACTGTGCACCTCTCTTGAGGCATAGAAACAGTTCTGCTAAGGACTATTCAAGCAAGAGTGGCCACCAGGAGTGTATGTTTGCAGGGTCGGGAAGAGAGGATGATGATATCACTAAAAATGCGATGATGTTGGCCATCTTGAGCCACCAACTACATTCCAGAATAGAGACTGGGCATTTTTCTTAGCAAATCTCCCGAGAAGCCAGCCACTCCTGCTGGTACATGTCCCTTACACTTACAAAGAAATCTCATTTTCTTGTGGAGTCTTCTCAGCAGAAGCAAGGGACAGGATAGCCCGGAGAAACACATTTGGTCCACAGCATCCGGTAAGAGGGAAGTTAGAAAACTGGAAAACAAGCTTCCACTCTAGCTTTCTTCCCCGGCATCCTCCTTCCCAGATCCGTTCAAGAAAGCATATTGTGCCTTATAAAGGGTGTGCTATTATGACATTGCCTGCAGATAAGCAAACAATCAACCTTCACTTCTAAGGACATTGGAGTGAGTTGGCCTTAGAGAAAAGGTGCCCCGTAGTTTCCAACCAACTCATCATTTGAAAGACCAAGGGTGGGGTCAGGCTTTCCATCTCATCCCTTGAATAAGTATCCAGCATTCATGATCCTAAACTTTCAACAATTTGGACATTCAGCTTCCTAGAAGTTTTCCTTGAGGAATCAGCTTTGATACCACTATGTAAGTCCTTGCTAATAGGAACACAAACACCTTTTCACCATTTTATTCCCTCAGGTGCTTATGGGTTAAACTATCACAAATTAATAGGCACTAATATGTTCTTATATTGCTTCTTCCAGGTGAGATGTTTTATTTCAGCAAGGAGCCTTTAGATATATGACATGCCGCAAAAGAAAGATCTAACTGAGACTTCCGCGAACCATCCAGGGAGATGATTTAGTTGCTCTTCAGATCATTTTCCATGCAGGTGGCTACCACCTTGGCCCCCATGAAAGACCAGCCCTGGTCAAATGCAGGGTTTTTAAATGATCATACAGTTACTTCTGAAATCGGACAGGACACTTAGGATGTCAGAGCCAAAAGCTGAATAATGCTTCTGCATGGAAGGTGTTGATGTTCTGGGCTCTCTACCACTGAGCAGGGCTCTCCTCCCCTCAGTCACGACACAGGTAGAAACGTGGTGACTGGCAGCCTACGTCTACCCCCTACATCTCCGGATAAAAGATCATTCATTATAAGAGTCCCACACTGGTGACTGTTTGAGACATACCTTTCCCTAGAAGGGAAACTCGAACCAAGTGGTTCATTTCAGCTCCTAACTCTCAGTGTTTTTTGCATGTAGGATTTTTGAGAAGTGAAAAAAAAAAAAACCGGTTATGAAGTTTCTGTTCATTCCACGCTTCATACCTTAAAGATGAGTGTGTGAGACACGGCTCTTCCAGTTAAAAATAGGCATGACCCTTTTCTGTCACTAGCCAGTCTCCAAAATTTTCCCTGCCAGGCAACGTTCAAAGAAGTCTATTAACTACCACCTGTGTTCTACGAGAAGACGATAAAATAAAGAAAAACCTAAAACTTGGTTTGCCCATCCCCTCATGCCTTTCCTGGAAGGGATGGGGCTACCCATCAGTTCAGCAGGGCACATGCTTCCTTCTGCAAGTGGTGACTGACTTCCCGCCTGCCTTCGCTGCCACTCATGAATATTAGGTTTGTGCAAAAGTAATTGTGGCTTCAAGACTGTGAATTTTAAATCATTATAACTATGCTCAAACACATCTTTATTAATCAAAATAGGAACCATTGGAATCAACACATTTTTGCCAACAAAAAGGAAGCTTTTTTATTCCTATAACATAAAAGTCCATGCTTCTGGGTTCAACAAACTCTTAGAAGGCATTTTCTGCATCCTGTTGGTTGTGAAAGCATTATCCCTGCAAAAAGTTGTTGTTAAGATGCTTAAAGAAGTGGTAGTTGGTTTGCGAGAAGCCAGGTGAATATGGCAGATGAGGCAAAACTTTGTAGCCCAATTTGTTCAACTTTTGAAGCATTGGTTGTGCGACGTGCAGTCCTGCCTTGTTGTGGAAAAGAATTGGGCCCTTTCTGTTGGCCAGTGTCGGCTGCAGGCATTGCAGTTTTTGGTGCTTCTCATTGATTTGCTGAGCATGCTTCTTAGATGTAATGGTTTCTCTAGGATTCAGAAAGCCACAGTAGATCACACTAACAGCAGACCACTAAACAGTGACCAGGACTTTTTTGGTGCAAGTTTAGCTTTGGGAAGTGCTTTGGAGCTTCTTCTCCATCCAGCCACTGAGCTGATCATTGCTGGTTGTCATGTAAAATCCACTTTTCTTCTCACATCACAATTTGATCAAGAAATAATTTGTTGTTGTTGTGTAGATTCAAAACAACGATTTTTTTTTTTTGCTCAGCTCATGAGGCACCCACTTATCAAGGTTTTTCACCTTTCCAATTTGCTTCAAATGCCAAACAACCATAGAATGGTTGACGTTGAGTTCTTCGGCAACTTCTTGTGTAGTCGTAAGAGGATCCACTTTGATGATGGCTCTCTATTGGTCGTTGTCAACTTCCCGTATCCCACCACTATCCGCATCTTCAAGGCTCTCACCTTCTTTGTGAAACTATTTGAACCACACCGCACAGTACCGTTAGTGGTTGTTACAGTTTGAACCACCACTGCACTGTTTGTTAGCAATTCCTGGGCCAAATGAGCTGATATTGTGAGTTGTCTCTACTGCTTTATGACTCAAATCACTTGAATTTGCTCTATCTAACATTACTTCCATAGTCTAAAATAAACATAAAATAAATACCAAGTAATATGTCATTAATAAAAAAACATAAAGTGAGAAATGCTCATTAAAATGATGCATAACATAACCAAATTTATTTAAGAATGTCTTTTAATACCAAATGGCCAATTCAAACAACGCAAAAAGTACAATTCCTCTTGCACCAACCTAAGTTGGGCCTTACTTGCCTCTCTCATTCCCAGACCTCCGTAGTGACCTCACGGAGGCACAGCTCATGCCAGTTCTTTCAAATGAAATGGAAAAACTCTATCTGAGCAAGTAGCTAAAGCACTTGACATCCAGAACTTCAAGTCCATACAGAACCTACCCTTCCCCATGCAGCAATTAGTGTCTTCATGCTCTTCCATGCAGTAGCTGGAGTATTCACACTCTTCTGTGCAGTGGCTAGTGTCTTCACACTCTTTCATGCAGTGGCTGCTGTCTTCACACTCTTCCATGCAGTGGCTAGTGTCTTAACACTCTCCTGTGCAGTGGCTAGTGTCTTCACACACTTCCATGCAATGATTAGTGTCTTCACACTCTTCCATGCTTCACTTCACACTCTTCTGTATAGCGGCTATTGTCTTAACACTCTCCCGTGCAGTGGCTAGCTAGCATCTTCACACTTCTCCATGCAGTGATTAGTGTCTTCACACTCTCCTGTGCAGTGGTTAGTGTCTTCACACTTCTCCATGCAGTGATTAGTGTCTTCACACCCTCCCATGCAGTGCTTGGTGTCCTCACACTCTCCCCTGAAGTGGCTGCTGTCTTCATGCTCTCCCGTGCAGTGGCTAGTGTTTTCACACTCTCTTGCACAGTTGCTAGTATCTTCACACTCTTCCATGCAGTAGCTGGAGTCTTCACACTCTCCCATGAAGTGCTTGGTGTCCTCACACTCTCCCCTGCAGTGGCTGCTGTCTTCAAGATCTCCCGTGCAGTGACTAGTGTCTTCACACTCTCCTGTGCAGTGGCTAGCGTCTTCACACTCTTTGGGAGCATTCTACTGCTCTTCAGCTGTAGCCCGGACCCAGCAGGAGCTCACAGAATTCTTCTCCCTCGTTTACAAACTTCCTCAAATGACCACTCATGGGCAGGCAATTTAACAACTTATTGGCCCATTTAAACCAATTAAAAGCAGATACATATATGTTTTGGATGTGAGCCCTAGGACTTTAATCAGTCTTTGCTGAATAAAATTGAATTATTGAACTGAACAAAGGAGCAAGTAGGTCAGTGGGTTGTTTTTCCACCTGCACGTGACTCATCCAGGTACAAATAGCAAGGGAGCCATTGAATCCACTAAAGGTGAAAATTTTGCAGTGTGGTCCCATGTGAGGAAGAAGACAAGTCATCTGGCTATTGGGTAGGGATGAAGGGAATACCAGGGCTACAGTTAGAATTTAGCAGTGACCCCACTTGAGCCTGCAAAGGGTGACAGGTTCCTAAGGAAGCAGGAAGGATGAGTGGCAGCCTCCTCCAAGGAAACCCTCTCAAAGTTACTCATTAGATATGCAGATAGACTCTTTCTTCTGAAGCAATTCCTTCTCCCCAGGGTCCATCATTTGTTTTGTGATGTTAATTCATGTGAGTTGGGGGTTTGGTTCTGTTTTGTTATGTTTTCTTATATGTTTTGGTTTATTGGTTTGAGTTTTTTTTTTGTTTATTTTTGGCGATAAAAATGGATGTTCTATGTGAAAGTGAGTTCCTTGTTTCTTTCTTTTGCCCGTGGCTGACTGCATGTGCTCTGTTGATGTCTTGTTCCTGGTTCTTGACACTGACCATCTTGTCTGTGAAAGGAGGCACTCCGGCGGGCATGCTTGATCAGAAGAAAGGGAAGTTTGCTTGGTTTAGTCACTCCACAGAAAGCCATGGTAATGTTCCCCTGTGCTCTGTGTGTGTAAATGTGTGTGAGTGCACACCAGACTGAATGGGAGGGTGTTTCTCTGGATGATTTGTGCCACAGTAGTTCTGTGTATGTGCAAATGTGTATATGTATATATGTTGTGCACGTGTGTGTGTTTGTGAAGGGATGGCATCCTATCCCTCTCAAAGCCACTGCTTTATCATTGCTTAATATGTATGAAGTCAGTGGGCATGACAGCTGGCAGAGCTGTTTCTCCAGGAGCCTTCCTTTGGGCAGTGCTGGCCTAGAGTGAGGGCACTGTGCATGCACGGTTAGAACCAGTGCAGGCAGTGCCTTGATTTAGAAGGTGCTGTGGTTATTTCTCGTGCCCAGGTCTGCCCTGTACTCACACAGAAGGCTCTGGGAACGAAGTGTCACAAAGTCACAGAACTTTTTCTAGATGGCTCAGCCCTTCAAACAAGGATACCTGGAGGGTGGAGAGCTTTTAAAAAATAAAAATAAAAAAGAAACCTTAGGTCAGAAATGGCTGGAGATGGATGGATTGGAAGACTCAAAGTGCTTCCATTTTATGACTTCCGTAATGTGGTTTGAGCAGGGCTCCTGGCAAGCTCTGAAGGTCTGTTTTCCCAGCTCCCAGGCCTAAAACCATCTGTAGACTTCAGACTGTCAAGTGAGTGTAATGCTGTAGAATTCAGTACCCTTGTTTGGCTACTCACTGCCCTCCTGTGGTGCTCCCACAACCTAGAAGGCTTTAAGAAGCTTGTTTTTGCCTAGGGTGTAGAGTTCAGAGGTGGTTGAGGCTGGGGCACTCAAGATGAGCATGGTGCAGGGGGTGTGACACCCATGCCCTGGTCCTAGCCCTACTCGAACACACCGTGTGACCCCAGGCATCACATCCCTTCTCTGGTCTCACTTTCCTCTCCTGTGGAGTGAGGAGGACGAGTTAGAGCCAGATAGTTTCTAAAGCCTCATCCAGCCCTGGAGTTTTATGAAATGACATCTGGATTTCTTTTTTTAATCCTATTTTATTAAAAAGGTCAGAGAGGTCTCTCACATACAGCAGTCAAACATATGGTAAGTCGTGGACTCTCTGTTTGTATCTTCCGTGTTCTTGAAATGATTCTCTTCTCACCAACCTGGCTTGTCTTTCTCCAAAGAAAGAAAACCAGGAAAAATCCACATCCATCAACATTATCCGTACAACCAGCAGAAGTGTTTCTTGGGCTCTGGGAGGCTCACGGGGACTTGTCACCAGAGGCCACACCTTCACTAAGGGCAGATTCTGTGTCTGCTGAGCGCTGGTGACTTTCTCAGCAGATGAGGAGCTCTATTCTGGAGGAATAGCAGAACCAGGACCAAGGATATGATGGTCACTGTAAAGAATAAGGGTTGCAAAACTAAGGACCACATTGTGTCGTAGTAAGAGAGTGATGGAAGGTGAAGAAAAATTCTTTGAGTTAAACTTTTATTTAGAAGAAAATAGTAATAATAAAAGCCACCAAACTGGGTCCTAAGCTAGAAAACTCCCGCTGTTCTCGAAATCCAGCCCACAGCTTCCTTTGGGAGGAGGCTGGACACGTTGAATTAAACGGTTTATATCCAAGTCAACCTGTTGACATGGGAATGTCAGAGTGGCTGAAAGGGGAAATAGTATCCCTACAGGCTGTCTTCTGGCCACATTTAAACGTAATTGTGTGGACTGTGGATGGTACACTTCCACGCCTCACTCCTGATGTCTGCAGGGCTCGTTTGAGTCTTAGTGCCTAGCTCTGGGGATGGCCATTCCCTTCAAGCCCTCTGTCTCAGGTATGCTCCTGGGTGTAACCAACTACAGGAAAGGGGAGGCCTCCATCCACCCAGCAGCTCATGAAGGCAGCAGGCATGCCCTTTCTACACACAGGCTGGGCCCTGTTCTTGGGGACGGAGTCCCTTAGAGACTGTGGATGGGATGAAGTAAGGAAAAATGATATCTTTTCATGAAAGCTCCTCTTTCTGTGGCAAGTGGTAGTTGCAAATGGAAAAGCCTCTGCAGCTTCTTCTAGTCTATAGTGTGGAGAGGAGAGAGAGGATTCAATGGTCAGTTTTTTTCAGGATGCATCCTATAACATAAAATGCTGTTATCACCAGATGTCCTCCCACACTCCCACTAGTTTATAGTGTCTTTGGCAGCCAAACTTGCCCTGGACAAGCAACAGGCGTGTGGGTAAAGGGGATCCGTGCAGATCGGCCAGCCAGTGCGCTCAGGCTCTCCTTCTGCCAACCCGCACTGGGTCTCGTGGTGGGCGTGTTGCGGGGTAATGCTCTTCTGCTCCCTCTCTCCCTACCCTCAATGCCCTGCTCTGCTTCCCTTTGACTCTTGCAGTGAGCATGCCCACCAGTGAGACCGAGTCTGTCAACACCGAAAACGTGGCTGGAGGTGACATCGAGGGAGAAAACTGCGGGGCCAGGCTGGCGTGAGTAGGCACGGCGAGCCCAGGGGCTTTTTCTGGGGCATGGGTGGAAAAGCTACATCTAGAAATCAGCATGGGCTGCCTCATCACTAGGGAGGGCAGAGATTAGGGCCGGTGGCAAGAAACAAACCTCAGGTGGGAACCAAGATGGGGAGCGGAGGGCACTAGGGTGAGAATGGCACTGGCAGGGGGTGAGTCTGAAAATCGAGGCTAGTCTTCAATTCAGCACTTCTTCAGGGGTGGGTGGGGCTGACTAGGGTTTTGAGCCACTTTTCATCACATCTGAGAAATACAGATGGTGTGTGTGGAGGGGGGGCTAAAGTCTGTTTCTTTCCCTCTAATCCCTTTCGCCCCTCTTCAAAGAAACAGCTTTGAAGGTTAGGGTCTTTCGAGGTTAGGGTCTCGAGTCCTGCTTCCTACTCTTTCCATTCTGATAAATGCGACCTGGGAGAAAAGCAGACAGGTGAGAAGATGCATTGGGAGAAGACTGGCATGTGGGTCCTTACCTGCAGCTCTGTCATCCTGCCAGTAAGGGAAGTGGAAGTGCAGTGGAGCCTGCCATTCTGTTGCCTTGGGTGTCACAACTGTAAGCTCACCCTGGCCACTGGAAGAACTGCAAACAGAGGCTCTGAGTCAGACCAGTCCCAAATACAAGGTGTTTTTGAATTGCTCCATCTGGGGAGTGGCATCTCCCTTCCCTCTTCATCTGTGGAATGACAGAGAGCCTGGGCAAGCACAGCCCTTTCACAACGCTGAGCTGTGGAAGAGTCTAAACACAGCAATGCCGGCCTTGAGTGTGGCCTCGGAGCCATGTGGGGGAAGGAGAATGAGGCCGAGGATGGAGTCGCTCTCACTGCCGCTATTTCCAGGGAGCATGGCACTTCAGTATCACTCACTCTGACAGTGGCACCAGGGAGTCTGCACTGCAGATTTCTCAGCGTTGTCGGGAAGCAATTATTGTCAAAATGTTGTTAAAATACGATGCTAATTACATTTTTAAGCAGCAGTACAAACCTCTTCTTTTGGAATCATACAAAACAAGCATTTGAGTTTCTGGAAGTAGGTCCCAAACAGCAACTCTAGGGAAAGGCATGTAGGAAGGCTTCAAAGCCCATCCGTTCTTGGCCTTTCTGTTGTCTTGCCACAAGACCAGGCTTAGTGAGATGATCAAACGCCCTGCAACTCTGGCTTTTGGGATGGCCCAAGTCGCATACCAGGTGGGACCAGGGAGCTGGCACCAGGAAGTCACTGGAGAGTAAATTTCAGGACAGCATGAGGCTCTGTTAGGAAGGGAACGTGATATACCCCCACGAATGGAAGCTGGCAATCTCCAGTGCATCTGTCGTTTGCTTGGATCATGTGCTCTGCAGCCTGGAGAGCTCTGCAGAAAGGGTCCCTGTTATCCCCATGTTCAGCCACATTCGTACTCTGTGCATACGAAATGCTGAGCCACAGTGCCAGAACTATAATATGCACCTAATAAAATGTGGTCTTTCCCCATCTCCCTACGTCCCACCCTGCCCCAGACAATGATGGTCCAAGATTCTGCCAGCATTCCTGGTGGGAGAAAGCATGGGAACTGAGATTGGGTGTGATGGTCTGAGGGGACAGTGAGAGACCAGCATCTTTAAAGCTAAGGGTTAAAAGTCTTATGTAATAAAATGAGGTCATGACGAGGACTGCTGTGTAGTAAGAAGGTCTGGATGAAGATGGTTCCTGTCCAGGAAGGAAGGAAAGAACAGCAACATGATATTTCATGGCAGAAGGGACAGGCGGGTGGAGGTAATGAAGAAGAAGGAGCCATCACAGCTGGGGAAGAGGATACTGAGGCGGAAGTGAAATCTGAAGCAGGAGCCCAGTCAGAGTGACCTGCAGGTGTCATGGAGACCACGAGATATCAAGGTGTGAGTCCCAGCTCTGAACTGGGTGGATACACATGTTTGAGGTTGTTGAGATGAGAACCACCAATGAGGTTATAGGACAAGGTTGTTCGGAGTGAAGTGGAAAACAGAAGACCAAGGGCTGAATTTTGGGAAATGGACACCCAGAAGAATGAGACCAAGCAAGCAAAACGGACAAAGAAATGTTAGGAGAAGAGGCAGCAGTGCCGGCCTGGGAGCTGCGGGAGGAGGGATTTCAGGGCAGAGCTGTTTATCTGTGCATTCATTCAACAGTCTGCCCAGCCTGGTGCTCAGCTAGGCAGTGGTGACACACAGCAGGGGAGGAAATTGACACCATCGTACTGGAGTTCACAGTCTAGTGTGGAAGAGACACTAAGCAAATAAATAGGCAACTATAAATTGGGGTAAGTGTTAAGAAGGAAAAGCAAGTGTAATGTCAGGGTGATAACAAACATCCCTGATTTGGGCTGGCAGGTTAGGAAAGGCTTCTTTGCAGGATTAAAATTCCAGCTGAGAACAGAAGGATGAATGTGAGTTATTGAGGGCCTGGCAGATCCTTCACCATTTGGGTCTGCATCAGAAGAGTGTGAGAAGTCACTGAAGGGCATTCAGAACGGAGCTGAGTGGGAGATTGATTCGGTTAGTCCTGAGTTCCTGGAGGATCACTGCGATGTCAGAGAAAGAGCAGGGAGGAAGGAGAAGCCGCAGGAGCCTGATGCAGGTGCGAGGTGATGTGGCAGCAGGTCAGGCTGCAGAGGGAAAGAAGGGCTGTGCTGTGCGTGTGTTGTGGGGTGCTACCCCTCGGGGTTGCAGGGCACTGGACTTGGGAGTCGGTCTCAGTGAGGGAAAGGGGATGGAAACGGGCCAGGACAGGGTGCCCACTCAGGCACTGAGCCCATGGATGGGGAGGAGTAAGGGAGGATGTGAAGAGGAGCAGCATGACTGTGGGAAGGGCTGGTCTTCACCGGAATAAAGGCGAGGGCAAGCTTCAAGGCTGGGAAAAAGTCAGTGAGCAGGAAGAGGTGAAATAAGCTGGAGAGGAGGCAGGTGCTGATAGCATGGCCTTGCTTCAGAAGGGGAGAAGGGGACAGCAAAGCCAGTGTGAGACACGGAACCTACACAAGGAGGAGGAGTTTCTTTACACCTGGGCCTCATTGGAAAATGAAAGAGGAGTCCCAGAGTCTAATGCTCACCAACCTCCAGCTAGCCCTGGGATCTTGGCCAAAGCACTCTGCTCTGGGCCTCAGCCCCATCCTCTGGGAAAAAGAAGGTTGGACTGACGTCTCAGCAGAGGCCACGGAGCCCGGAAATCACCTGCAGTGATGCAAGGTTTCATATGAAGAAAGCATTCTATACCTGGAGAAATTGCAAACCGTAGGTCCACGCGGTATCTAAGGGTCCCTTCCAGCTCTCCAAGCCTACAGTTCTGTAAAGAATTTAGAATCAGAAACAGGCTCTGATGGAGGGGTCAGTGATAGGAGTCACTCCGAATGAGCTCAGCCATCTCATCCCCCAAAGCAAGGGTCCAGGGACACAGGAACCTAAAGGACAGTACAGAGACTGAAACCAGTGAGCCAACGAGAGGTTGCCCAGAGATTGCTGGGCAGCACTGATGCCGCGGTGGAGACTGATACCATGAATGTGTACTCAGCCATATTTCTTGGTGGACCCTGTAGCCTACGAGGACTCAAAAGAGGCAGTGGGTGACCCAGAGTGGCACTTAGCCATGCAGACACAGCAGAAGGCCCAGGCGGTGTGGAATGTCTGTGGCACTGAGGGCAACATTGTCATGACTGTAGTCAAGGCTGGTGTTGAAGGGTGTGAGTGACTGGGAGGATCCAGTGAGGACAAGGAGCAGGAGGGATCATAGAAAGGGAGGCTCTGGCCAGAGTCATGGAGCCTCTGAACTCAGCACCCAGGAGTGGAAGCAATGCTATGTCATGGCAAGGCCAGGACGTGACCCTCCCAATACTAAGAGCTGTGATACAGAGGAAGTCCTGGAGTTAAGGACGCTGAGTCAGATGCATTGTTAGTGTGGATGATGACTGCAATGCCATCTGACTTAAGTTAAAGGCAAAGTTGGGACAATTCAGGGAAATACTATTTTACACAGCAGGTAGTAAACATATGGCACTTATTCCTCTAAGAAGAGGGGAGAGGCTAAAAATATAAATAGCTCTTAAGAAGTTCAAATATTTCTCAAATAATGACAAATGCAAACTGAGTAACTAAGGGGGGAAAAGGAGTTTGGGGTTTGTCTCTAATTCTGAACCTGAAAACCACGAAGGAAAATCATGGTCTCCCAGGAGGTTTGTCTTGTCTCAGAGTCCTGGGCAGAGGCGGTATCTGGTGTTGCGTGAACTTCACTTTCCACACGGTGGGTCTGTTCTGATGGTCTCATGTGCTCCTTACCAGCCTTGTCTCCCTCCTCACTCTTCTTCAACAGTCTGCTCAGCCTTAGGTAGAAATTGTGCCTCATTGGAACAACAAGGGTGGAGAAAGACAGGAAGCCTTCTGAGCACACTGTGCGTAGAGATGCCAGAGCCCCCAGCTCTTCTCCGGGTTCTCTGGAGATTGTGAAGCTCAGTAGCAGGGAGGCATGGGCTGCAGTGAGCCAGCCCGGAGTGTGGACCAGCACCATGGCCCCAAGGCACCTGGGCTCCTGGCTTCTGTCCTCTCACTGCGGGAGCACCTTTCCTGCCCAGATTCCTGGGCCACCTCCCAGGAGGCAAAGGGGTCCAATCATTAACTCCAAGATGTGCACAGGGAGCAGGAAGAACCAAGGCGTTCGGACCTCACAGCATTATCACCTCAGCTCCCCACAGCCATGGAGTTTTCCTTGGCCTCCAGACAAATGCCGCTACGCAGGGACCTCCCCTGCTCAAGGACAGGAGCCTGCCTGATGTGGAACTTAGCCATGCGGCTGGTTAGTTTTCAGATGTGCCAGCCTTTAAAGGGGGATGATGTTTTGGGCCCCGTGACCCTAAAATTCTGCTCGCAATCCCTGAGAACAGCAACAATAGCAATAAAATCAGTCTTCGAGTGTGGTGCCCAGGCTTACCCATCAGGATCTGTAACAAAGCAGACAAGAAGGCTCTGTCCATTTCCTGCTTAGAATATGCCCAGATGCCACAAAAGGACCTGCAGTCCATGACCATGCTTGAACCAGGGCCTCCTTTCCTATCAGCCCCAGCAGCGATCCTGCTTCCCAGGGTCATTTCCCTGGGAGACAAACGCTCAGGGTCAGGTTCCCCAGAGGGGAGCTTTTCAGAGCCCACTTGCACTGCGAGCAAGAGAACCCCTCATGGCAAAGAGCCGGTGGTCATCGTCGAGGGGCACCCCCAACAGGACTACTGAGATGTTTCTGAAAGAAGGCCTGGGGCCAGGCTAGGCTTAGAGTCAGAGTGACAAGGCTGAAGTCCGCGGTCACCCACTTGGGCTTATGGGTAACAGCAAGGAGAGACAGCCACCCAAAAGCAGCCTGGGAAGAGGCTGAAGGTCCCGGGCTCAGCATGGCGCCGCTGGAGAAGAGAGCACCTGAGTTGCCCAGCACCCAACTGGCAGCTGGGAAACAATTGTTTGCTGGTTAAACTGGCTCTAAATAACAATGCTGTCCTGGGCTCCCTGTCCGCTTCCCACAGGCTGTTAAAACGTGTGATTAAGCCCTCCAGCCCTCACAGGCAGTCTTTGGGGGTGGGATGAAGTTACGGAGCAGTAAAGGCACTTGGCTCTGATTCGCAGTGCCCCTGAGATATAATTATCTCATGCATGATGGCTTTGCCACCTGTCACATCTTCTGGCTTTATTTTTTTAATAAGAAATAACGAGAGGGGTTTGCTCTGCAGCACAGCTCACTGTGTGCCGGGCTGGGACACTGCAGGCCTGCGACCGTCATCGCCCGGACTCCGTTCTCCTGTTTCCTCCCCACGCTTCTCCTTGTTGCTCCACCGCGTCTCCAAACTTGCATTCTGTCCTTCTGCTTGTCCCTCTGAACGTTGTCACCACCTGCACTCTCCCCAGTGTTCACGCCCTTCTCCTAGCACCAAAGCCAAGATGACAGGTGCCTTCTAATTGTCTCAGCTGCCTACATTTTCTCACTCTCCCTGTCTCTCTGTCTTTGGCTCAGCCTTCTCTCCTCCACACTTCTCTTTTACAGTCTCTCCCTCTTGCCCTCTTCTCCTAGCCTCCTGCCTCCCCTGGACTCTTCCCCACATGAACGAGGGAGTCTCAGGACTTCCGTGAAGGCTCTGCCTTTCTGTGGAACCCCCTCCCCATTCGATGACCCTTCCAGGCAACCACCATCACACCCACCCTGGCTTTCTGCCCAGAAATCCCCAGGTCTTCAGGGCTGCATGTGACTGTCAGCATCCTGGGTTTTTCTTCGGAATCTGTGGCTGGTTCTTGGCCCCCTGTGCAGCTCTGGGGTGGGGGCTGTCGTGGCCCCTCCATTTCTGGCTGGCTCATTTTGCTGGTCTTCCCTTCATAACCCCACTCTAGCTGGGCTCTGGCAGATAGCCGTTAGGTCTGTGCTGACCTGTTCCTGCCTGTGATTTTTCTGCTGTTGGGGTCGTCTTGTCATCAGGAGAGGCCTTTCTTCCTCTGCGGTTTTTCTCAAGATACAGCTCTTCCTAACCTGACCTCATGGAACTTTCTGGGCAGACCCTGAGGACCCGGTACTCTCCCTCTGCAGCAAGGAGTGTTTATACTTAGAAGATGCTAGCTGGCCAGACCTCAGTCTCCAGATTCAAATACATGAATAGTGTTCTTTCTCTCCCAAGATGTTCTAATTCATACCATGCCTCCTTCCAGTGGGAACATCAAATTTCCCTGGGACTGTTGAACATCTTTTAAATGCAGGTGTGTGTACATCCTTTGGTAACATTTCCTTTTTCTCTTTCAGCCACCGGATCTCCAAGTCAAAGTTCAGGTGAGTGAGACACGCGCTGCTCTTCCTTCCTTCTGCCACCAGCTCTGTCCTCAGCTGCCCTGTTGGGTGGCCCAAGGCAATACCTATGAGTTGCCAGTAGGGTAAGGGGTGTTCTTCTAAGGGGGTAACTACTTTCTGTGTGGCCATCAAAAAAAAAAAAAACTTATGGCTCAGATCAGACAAATAATTCAGTGTGTGGTATCTGTTGAATGATCTCAGGCTGTCTTTTTGGCAGCAATGTCCCTAGGAAGTTGTCAGACCAAATGTGTCTTCCCCCCTTCTAAGATGAAGTCCAGTTAAAAGAAACATAAAGTGAACCCTTGTGACTAGCATGACCTACTTGATGTTTATAGAATACAGTGTGATATGAACTTGGAGGATGATGGAAGGCACATAGGATTATGACGCCCATCTATGTCACTGCTCTTGACAATGACAGAACCTACAAAAGGACCCAAAGTCCTCCGCCCCCATCTGCCTCCCAGCCTCACTTCCTGCACTTCCGTGAAAATAACCTTTGTTCCCCCTACAGGGAGCTTCTTGCAGTTACATGGATGTTCCCTGTCCTGGTGCACATTGAGGCCTTTGCATGGAGCCATTCCTCCACTTAAATAACCATGCCCCCGTGTCTTCATCTGGAGAACTCAGACTTCTGTTCAGAGCCTCAGATGTGACCACTTCCATGTTACTGCTTTCTATCCCATTTCACTAGGACTGGAAAACACCTTCTGCAAACTCCAGGGAGAGTTACTCGGCTCCCCCTTTCCTGGTGCTTTGCTGATGCCTCTGTCACAGCACCCAGCACATCACACATCACACCCGGATCACTGGCTCGCAGTCCCCTGCCTCCAGAGGCTCTGCCTGCGTGCCTCACATGGGTGATTTCCAGAGCACCCAGCTCAGTGCCTGTCCAGTGGTGAACATCCATACATGTGTGTTGAATGAATGAGTGGATAGATGTGTGCCGGGAGAATGTGAATCTACTACCACAAAGCTTGTATGTGCCAAAAAATATTGGTTGTTTTTCATAATTGAGCTAATCTTGATTCCCTAGTCCTATCTACTATGTGGCAGGAGCATACAGAACATTAAATTTTCATCCAGCTGAGTAAATGTAGCCCAGTGCTGTATTTTAAACAGTCCCTTAAGGTAAAGTGATTTGTCTGTCAGACTGCCTCTGTCCCAGCTTCTCTGTTGGATAGAGCTGGACACATGGCGGAGAGGGACTTCAAGATGCCAGGAAGCAGGGTGTGATGAGGGCTGGTCCTAGAAGCCACGCAAAGCCCTCTGGGTGCTTGCTCATCTCTGCTGCATGGGATTAGGCTGAACTGCTCTCTGAACTGGTGCCTGCTGAGGTCCATCTGATTAGGGCATCCACCACTACAGTTCATGCCCTCTGCTTGCCTCTAGCCTTGAAATCTCTACCTCCACCCTCTGACCCCTGAGTTCTGTTGGTCCCCTGACTTTAGCACCTCTACACCTCAGCTGGAGTACACAGACACTTCCAGGTCCTTCGCACTCCCTGAAGGAGCTGGGGAGGCAGCAGCACTATGACAGGCCCACTGACCTACCCGTGTCCCATCACGCCCTCTGTAACAGCCAGGATAAGCTTCAAGCCAAGGGGTGACCTTCTCCCAAGATCTGCCAAGGCTCTCCAGCAGCCCTGGCCATCTGGGTGTTTCTAAAGCAACCCCCACTAACCTCTTGAAGTGTGGCACCCAAGGGCTAAAAATTAAATGAGGACCCTGGTGTCTGACTTTCGCTCCACTTCGATACCTTTTTTCTCTCCCATTTCACTGGGACTAGAAAATACAGGCTTTTTCCCCAATTCCTCTTTCCCTCAAACCAAAAGCTCTTCTACATAAAAAATCTAGGGTCAGGCCCATCAGATCTAGCTCTTATTACAGAGAAAGAGCTCCAGAAATATAAAAAGTCCTCTCTCTCACTAATGCTTGGCTCTTACCGCTTTATCTCCAGCACCTGGAGAAGTGGCTGGTATATAACAAGGACCTAATGAATATTTGCTGAGTGAGTGAGTGAATTAATAAATGAATGATCCTGCCCCAGTGAGACAACAGACTTAACAAAGATTCAAACAAAATATCTAATTTGACAGTCAAAGCTGAGAAAGCATGTTGTGCTTTTAACAGTTCCAAAGCCCCTACACAATAAGAGTAAGGGATTAAAAATACACTTGAAAACATTTCCAAAATATCATTCTCATTTCATGCGTGTGAGTAAATCGGAAATTAATGAATGAATGAATGAACATGATCCAGAGGATGGAAGGGAAAATTACGTACTTGTGGCTCAAGTTAGAGATTGCCTGGAGCACTCTGGGAACATTATTTTGACCCAGTGATCTATGGTGCAAGCTGCGCTTTCGAACAAGAGGGAAAGAGCCGTGGTGCCTGTAAACCCCTGGAGCCTCTCTCGGCTCTGAGGCTTTGCTATGTGCTGGCCGTTCAACCCTGACCATCTCTTCTGCAGCCACCCCTCAATACGCGGCAGCAACGTGGAGAGTGGATTTTGTTCCCCTAAAGGCTTAGAGCTAGTAGGTTGGCACATCACTGGAACCCATTTTCCAGATGAGGATCCTGAGGCTTAGAGAGGCCCAGATCACAGGGCTCTAGTATGGCTGAGTCAGAGCCCAGGCCCAGGGGATCTGCTGCCAATCACCGGACCGTCCTAGCAATGAGGTTCTGTCCAGGATTGGTAAACCCTGTTCCTGCATAACTAGTGTGTCTACAGAGTGTTTAACTTTAGAACCATGCTATTCAACAGAAACATAATGCAAGCCGCATATGTACTTTTTAAAATGTTCTAGTTGGCAGGTTAAAAAATAAAAAGAAATAGGAAATTTCTTTTATTTAAACCAACGTCTCTAAAACATTACTATTTCAACATGTAATTAATATAAAAATTGTTAATGAGGTAATTTGCATTCATGCTAAGTCTTTGAAATTCAGTGTGTTTTGCACCTCCTGCACGCCTCAGTCTGGACTGACCACTTTTCCCATGCACGGTAGCTGCATGTTGCTAGCAGCTGCCACACAAGGACACGTGGCCCTGGAGGTTTCACACATGAGCAGGTAACACAGTAGCCGTCTAATCTAGATTCTGCAGTTCACTGATGGTGTCTGTTTAGGGAATATCAAAGGCTACAAGTAGATGGGAAATGCCACAAACATTATCAAAGTATTCCTAACCATTTTCACAGGTGAAACAGTTTAACAATTACAGATAATGGAATTTGAGTCTCAACCTGGCCTATTCCATTTGCAAAACAGAATGATCCAAAGTCAAGATTTCTTTAAAGGAAATAAGAGTATGGAAGCTTTAGGGAAAATTCGGCCGGTTAATGGATTTATAATAGTTCAGCCATAGTAGAGTATTCCCTTGGTAATCCAGGTTTTCACTTCAAGGAATTAGTTAAAATAAAAGATTTGTGACATTTGGAGCTCTCTGTTCAGAATAGAATGTAAACAGTTATGAAACAAATGATTCAGGAAGTCTTTTGCAACCTGAAGGGATTAATTAGAGAAGTTGGAGCTTCTGGATCTTAACTTTATGGAGTTCCGAAGTGAACCTCACGGAATTCTAAAATAGGAAGGACTGGCATGCCCAGTCTTCAGTGAAATGTGCTTCCAATGTTCGGACTTCTGCGGTACCATCAGCAACAAGGCACAAATCCAAATTTGCCCCAATCTCTAATAGCCTTTGTAACGTTACTTATTTACATGAGAATTAAACTTAATGGTTTTCTGTGTTTGTTGTTTGTCCTGGTAAAAAAAAAAAAAAAAAGGTGGAAACTTACTATCTAGCCACTAAGAAGGCCTACAGGGGCCACCACTTTCATATTGTCTGTGATTCCAGATGCCCGCCCACCATTGCATGTCAAGCTAACTATTTTAGGAGCACTGCCCTCTCCTCACCTCCACTCTCAGCCCTGGATCACAAGAGGTCCAGGAATCTTAAGCCTTGTCTTCCAGAGGGAGGTAGTACATTTGCCTGGAGTTCATCTGTGCTGCTCAATCATGCCATCAGCCAGGGGTTCTTGTGAGGGATGGACTGCTGAGTCCTGTGGGTCTGTAACCAAGTGTAAGACACAGCCCCATTCCTTCGTGGGTCTTGTGAGCTCCGTGGAGAGGCAGGAACCATAAAAATAAAAGGTACCTGACAATACAAGGAAATGGTAACTCATTTCCTCTGGGGACCCTTCTTGGCTAAGATGTCCCTTTGTGTGCTCCCATGTGGACCCACCCAGTTCTTAGGCCCTGCTGTGACTGCTCACTTAGTAGTCTGTATCTCCGTATAGGTTTTATGCAGAGGAGGCCTGTGAGCCTTGTGCTAGCTGCTGAGTATCTGGTACCTAGCCCATGGTTGGTGTTTAGTAAATCTTTCTGGGATGTAGAACTAAAATGAGTAATGCAGACAGTAAGCACTGCAGAGTGCCAAGGCTCGGAAGACTAGAAGGATGCATTGTGGAGAAGCTGGGACTCAGTGTGAGCCCCACAGGAGGGGCAGGACAGAGAGGATGGAACAAAGGTGGAGTTTCCGGCGGCTGGGAGGACCCGCCGTGCAGCTGGACAGGCAAGAGCAAGGCCCAGCATAGGGAGAAGGGCAGGCCTAGCCAGGGCTGCGAGAGCAGAAGTTTCCTGTGGGAATGCAGTGATCCCAAAGTTTAGAGACATAGATTAGACCCATTCACATCCATCCTTCTCTCCTGTGTCTACATATGGAAGGTTCTATTTCTAGAGAAAATGACTTCCAGTTAGTGTGAAGGGAACATGAATAGCAGGCAAATTTCTCCTCCCTGTTTTATTATTTAATTTCTGTGTCCTCCATGCATATGTAAACACAAATAAATTTACGCATTCTAATAAACCATTACATTTATTATACAGTAGGAAGTGTTGCCAGGAAACCAGTTGTCAAGCAAAGCTATATTTTGAAGAGTGGGAGGTGTATAATTATCTTTAAATACTTTCTCTGGATAGTAATTACCCCACCCCCACCCCAGCCTAAATCCATGTGACTCTCCCGAATGGGTCTGCTCAGGAGCACCCCAGTTTAAAGGGACACCATCCTGTCCACTCTGGCCGTTCCCCAGGTGCATAGCAGCTCCAGATCCATGGAGCAGGCCTGACCACACAGCACCCACACCCACTGCCCGCAAGCATCGGGAAAGAGGGGCATAATCAAGTTCTCATATAAGCCCACTCTAAGACAGCTCTACATAACGTAAAGAAAGCAACCGTGATTGCTTTGGACTCTGAATAACAATTATCAGTGATTCCGGGAACTTGAGATCGTATCTATTTAAAACATGTTCTTTGCAACTTCCACTGTCAGCTATTTAAGACCAGATAGGAGTTTGTCCTGAAAATTCATTTTTTAGGGGAAAAAAACTACCTTGCCAAGTTTCTGCACAGTATTAATAATCACAATCACAGGAAACAAGCCAAGGCAGGCCCTGCAAGATAAGACTGTTTAATGTCAAGATCTGGCAGACTTCAGAGGTCACCTCTCAAGAGGACCATCTGGGGCTCATTGTCCCATGCCTTTGTCCCCCTGTCCACCCTCCACCATCCTCCCTCAGATCCAGGGCAGTATGTCTGGGGGTGCAAGAATTTCGAAGTGCATTTAGAAATCATTACTTTTAAAATTTTTAATGTTTATGGGCATTAATAGGTGTATAAATTTATGGGGGTGCATGTGATGTTTTGATCCAGGTGTACAATGTATAAAAATCAAACCAAGATTATTGGGGTATTCCCAACCTCAAGCACTTATCATTTCTTTGTGTTAGGAACATTCTAATTCCACTCTTTCAGTTGTTTTTAAATATATGATAAATTGTCATGACTGTAGTTACCATTCTTCTCTCCTATGTTGTATGGTCAAATATTACGTCTTATTTATTGTATTTAGCTGTATGTTTTCACCCATTTACCATCTCCATTACCTATCCCAGCTTCTGGTAACCATCATTCTACTCTCTGTATCCATGAGTTCAATTGTTTTAATTTTTACCTCCCACAAAGAAGTGACAACATGAACAATTTTTCTTTCCGTGCCTGACTGGCTTATTTCACTCAATCTAATGGCTTCCAGTTCCATCTATGTTGTTGCAAATGACAGAATTTCATTCATTTTTATAGCTGAACAATATGAACAATATTCCATTGTGTACATGTTCCACATTTTCTTCATTGATCTGCTGACGGACACTTAGGTAGATTCCATAGCTTGGCTATTGTAAATAGTGCTGCAGTCAACGGAGGAGTGCAGATATCTCTTCAGTTTGCGGATTGGAAACCATATTTTTGACCGGGTGGCCTACTGCCCTGTGTAGTGGATTTTCCCCCAAGCAGTAGGCAAGTGTCTCGTGTAAAGTGTGACACTCACTGGAGATGGCCTTCAAGCCAGAGCAGAACCTTTAAAGGATTAAAGGGGATTAATCCTTTCTCCCCTCCCTGCTCTTTAGGCCAAAAACTAAGTTCTCCCTGCAGTCCTGAGGAAAAAGTACCCTTCTTAGATTACTGTCTTCACTCTCCTGACCTCATCATAGATTTAGCAAAGGCTTGGTAACAGGATTTTCTGCAGACCGTCGATAGAAAAATGGCAGAGTAGAAAGGTGGATGAAGTCTGGCTACTCCAAGAGGCAGTTTTAGGGGTGGGTGCAGGGATCCATCACAGCCCAGGTCCACATCCTAGAACCTCGGACCACTCGTTGTCCCTGGCATCTTGGAATTTGGTGGTGTTTGGAGGGGCTTCTGTTGTGGAAGTAGAGGACTGAGGCTGAGGACAGTGCACACAGCACACAGCTGTCCCTGACCCCTGAGGCGTACCCACCTGTGGTGCTGCTAGGTGCCCGGGGGCTGGGAAGGAATAGGCCATTCACAGAGCAGCAGGTTCACCCAGATGGGGCCTGCTGCCCCACCACCAGCATAACCCGAGCCAGGAGGTGAGGCGGAGGCTTAATGGTTGTCTCTGGCAGGAAGACTGGACAAACAGACTCATACCATGGACTCCGATTTGGAATAGAGGCCCTCAGTTCAGCTTCCTCGTGCTAAAGTGGAGGGCTAGTTTTCACACCCAGACTTAGTACGCCACACACAAACACACTCACACTCGCACACCAGAAACAAGTTTTATGTAAAATACATTTTTCCTTAGTGGTTACTTTAAAAAGCAGTTTCCTTATGGTATGACATGCACTGTGATATTTTCCACCCTATTCCTTTATTCAGTGCCAGCCATGACCTACCCAACAGATTTCATGACCCACTAATGGGCTGCAGTGTGAGGTTTGACATCTCTGCCCCGAGGCAGATTCTGCATGCTTATTTAGAGGAATGTCTGTCTAGACTAGAAAGATTCAGAGAAAGGAGATCATTTTATGGAAAAATACAGATATTCATGTATTTTATCACCAGGATTCTACTTTGTTTCTCTTCCTGCCTTCATTACCCAAGCAGGAGCTGTCTCCAGTGCCTGGCGGGCCTGTGTACAAGCCCTGCAGGTGCCCCAAAGCTAAGCGCCCCACGCTTCTCATGGTTGACCCCCTCCCTGGGACTCCACTCCCCTCCTCTGTGCCACCCTCCCAAAGCACCCCAGCTGGAAACATCGGCAGTCTCTTCCACACATGCCCCTCTCATCCTGCACGTCCACCCATCTCAGGGGCCTGTTGATTCTGCCCCCAAAACCGCTGCCAGCTCTGTGTCATCTTTTCCATTAATAAATCTATTACCTTCATCATCTCTAACCTGGAGAACAGGAAGAGAATTCCTCATACTCTCCTTGGTCTAGAAGGTGACAGAGGAGCTGTTTTTGTGGGGTGTTCCATCCAATCTGATCATGTCCTTTCCCTCTCCCCAAGCTCTCAGCATGGCCCCTGTGGTCTCCTCCACAGCACCTCTCCAGCTGTGGTTCCTCTCTCCTTGTGCAGTGCAGCTGTTTATTAACCATGTCTTCTACTGAATTCAACCAAATAGAGCTGTATATTTTCTCTGTATCAGGAAGATGAAAACGCCTCCACCATAGAATCTTAAAATGTGTTTCTTTGGGATCATCTTAGCCAATGGCTGTCAACCGTCATTACCCATTAAAACCAACTGGAGAACCTTAAGAACACCCGTGGTATTTTGGGGGGTATTTAAAAATACCCAACCCCCAGAGAATCAGATTTAATTGGTTTGGTGTTGGGCCTTCGGGACCAGTGGGGTTTTGGGGAGGGTTCCCTGGGTAATTCTGTGTATAGCCAGGTTTGAGAATCACTGACAAAGGGCCCTAAACCAAGATACTGGGAGCATTCCATGGACCAGGGATGAGGTTTGAGGGGTCTGTGTGCTGCATGGGCTCACATGTAAAGGTGTGTGTAGGGGGATGTGCCCATTTTTCTGAAAGGCAGAATTAAAAACATTCACGAGATTCTGGAAAGATTCTATAACCCAGAAAAACAAAGAGCCTGTGCTCCAGGTGAACCCCTCCCACCATATGGATGCGGCACACAGAGTCAGGGCCAAGAGGCTGGGCAGAACACCACGCCTGGCTCTGCCTGCTATGATTTCGGTCGAGATACTCAGCCTCCCCGCCCTTAGTTTTCTCCTCCACAAAAATCAGGATAATGCATGCTTTGCAGTTATTGACAGAATTGGAGAGAAGATGTGAGAGTGTCTGATACGGTACTGGGCCCCTCCACCGCTGTTGCTAATATTGGTCTTATTGCTTGCAACACCATTTCTAAGAATGCCACTTTAAAAAAAAAAAAAAAAAAAAAACTTCTATTTGTTGAGCACCTTCAACTTCAATGCAGCCAGATGCATTATAAGGTGTTTGATTCATCCCCATAACAACCCCATGAGGTTTGCCCTCTTCCTGTTTCACAGATGGGAGAATTGGAGGAGTTCAGGGGCATCCCCAAGGTGGCAGGGCCTGGTTAGCTGGGTGAGAAGCTGGGCTTCTTGCCCCCAGTTTGGGCTGCTGTAGCAAGGCCAGGTCAGTGAGGGGTGAGAAGAGCCAAGGTGGTGCATCCTGGATTCGAGGAAACCTGAATTCACAGCCAGCCCCACCTTCTTTCCTTGTCCCCTTTCCAGCCGCTACTGGCGCCGATGGAATCGGTTCTGCAGAAGAAAGTGCCGCGCTGCGGTCAAGTCTAATGTCTTCTACTGGCTGGTGATTTTCCTGGTGTTCCTCAACACGCTCACCATTGCCTCTGAGCACTACAACCAGCCCCACTGGCTCACAGAAGTCCAAGGTGAGCAGCGGCCCCAGCTCTGTCCTGGTTTCCTCCTGGGAACTCAGCCCCAAGGCCCAGGGAGGGCATCACCACAGGCAGAAGGTGGATGGGAAAGCAGCCAATGGTCAGGGCTCTTGGCAGGTGCTGTGCTGGAGACATCAAGGGCCTGGCAGCTCCAAAGCCCCACCATCAAATGCACTATCTTGTTAGAAACAGTCACGGCTGCCCTAACTGGGCCCACACCATTGGCCTGTCACAGTCACTGCTGGGCCCTTGTGACAAGGATAGGAGCTGCAGCTTGTGTGCCTATCTCAGACCCCTGGCTGCCAACTTCCCAGCATGGATTTTAAATACCTGGGGGCCTTCCTGCAACCCTGAGGTGGCCTTAACCAGAACAGTGAGGATGGAATGAGCAAAAAGGCAGGGAAGAGAACAGGGCCTGAGCACAAGGAACCGTCTTCCATGGTCGTTCATGTTCATCACCCTTCTTTGGGCCACGAGACTCGGGTCCCGCTAGCCAGGCCTCAGCATCACTGCTGAGCAGTCAAGACCTGGCCCCATCCCACAGCTGCTTTCCAGAGTCCTGGGAGGCAGGGGCTCTAGTGGTGGAGAAGTCAGACTCAGACAGTGCGGCTCCAGCTGTTAGCGCTTGGCCTGCACAGATTACCCACCACTTTGAACCTCCTTTCTCATCTCTGAAAATGGGTGTGATGAAGATGGTGCCGTCCCCACAGGCCTGCCGTGAGGAGTAGAGATTATGTATGCCAAGCCTATGGTGTATGGAAGATGCTCAGTAAATGTCTGTTATGATTATGACAAGAGAGCCCTTTCCGTTGGCTTGGCCCTAACTGTTCTGTTCCGGCCAAGGTGGATGGGAGAGGTGTCATGGGGAATCTTCCTTCCGGTGGAGATAATTACTGTATTTCCTTTCCCTGCCTCCCTCTCTGCCCTTCTCTGGTCCTGCTCGGATGTCATCCCTCTCCTGGGCCTGCCAGACACGGCCAACAAGGCTCTGCTGGCCCTGTTCACGGCAGAGATGCTCCTGAAGATGTACAGCCTGGGCCTGCAAGCCTACTTCGTGTCCCTCTTCAACCGCTTTGACTGCTTTGTCGTGTGCGGTGGCATCCTGGAGACCATCCTGGTGGAGACCAAGATCATGTCCCCACTGGGCATCTCCGTGCTCAGATGCGTCCGGCTGCTGAGAATATTCAAGATCACAAGGTACTGGGCTCCTCCTCTCCATTTGGAGAGGGGACTCAAGGAGAAGTTCTTCCAGAGGGCAAGGGAGGTGGCAAGGCCTGGGTGGGAGGGGAGCTGTTCTCCCTCAAAGGGTCTTTCTGAAGCTCACATGCAATGGGGGGAGTTTGTGTTCGTTTAGATGGCACATCATTTGGAAATTCCTCTGGCTGCTAATACCAGAGGCTCAACTCAGTCATGTAAGCAAGGTAGGGACTCATTCAGCCACTGGAAAAAAGTGCAGAGGCAGGTAGCCAAGGTGCCTTCAAGAAAGGGATCAGGGACCCAGTCTGTTCTCCTGTGCTTCACCAGCCCTGGTGCTAATTCCTCCCTAGGGTCATAAGATAGCTTCTGGAGACTGAGCTATCACATTCAAATTGGAGGTGGGAAGAAGAGAAAGGGGCAAAAGGGCTGACCACCCCGTCCAAGTCAGCCTCTCCACTCCCAGGAGTCACTCCCAGACACCCATGAGGACTGCTGTTGTCAACAAAACTGAAAATCATAAGGGATGGCAATGACACGGAGAAACGGGAACCCTTGTACACTATGGGTGGGAATGTAAAATGGTGCAGCCACCGTGGGAATCGTGTGGCAATTCCTAAAAACATTAACAACAGAATTACCCTATGAGCCATCAATTCCTCTTCTGGGTATATGCCCAAAGGAATTAAAAGTAGGATCTCAAAGAGGTATTTGCATACCCAAGTGCCTTAGACAGATGAATGTATTTTAAAAATGTGGTCTACACAGACAGTGCAATATTATTCAGTCTTAAAAAGGAAGGAAATCCTGACACATGCTACAAAGTGGATGAAACTTAAGGACATTATGCTGAGCGAAATAAGCCAGTCACAGAAAGACAAATACTGTATGATTCCATTTATACATGGTTCTTAGAGTAGCAGATTCACAGAGACAGAGAGCAGAATGGAGGCCGCCCAGGGCTGGAGGGAGGGAGCAGTGGGGAGTTAGTGTGTAATGGGTGCAGAGCTTCAGTTCTGCAAGGTGAAAAGCATTCTGGAGATGGAGGCTGGTGGCGGTTTCACAAGCGCGTGAATGGATTTAGCACCACTGAACTCTACACTAAAAAAAATGGTGAAGATGGTAAATTTTATGCTATGTGTATTTTAACACAATGAAACAAATTGGAAGAAATCTTCCAGAAATCTCACCAAGGGCTTCTGTTCTTGGCCACCTGAGCCATTAGGGAGGCTGAGAAATGCAGTCTTCTAGCAGGGCAAGTACCGCTGAAAAAGTGATCAAGATCCACTCACTGTAGAGGGCTGTGGATACTGCACGGCAGACGGCGTTCATCTGCCAACATGCTCACCCCTCCGTGTGTCAGTCCAGCGCCCACCCAAAGCGGGCTGTCTCCCTCCCTGTCTAGGCCAAGCAGTGACTCTCATGACAAGGACAGGGCCTGGGGGGGGCGAGGACAGCATGACCCACTGGGAGTGGTGGAATCAATTTATTAGATCACAGCCATCATTTTAAAACAGCTCTACTGAAATATAATCCATGTCCCATATATTTACCGCTTACAAGGTATAAGTTAATTGTTTCTTATATTCACAGTGTTAGGCAACCATCACCATAGTCTACTTGTAGAACTTTTTCATCACCCGGGAAAGAAACACCATGCCCACTCCACATGTCCCCCATCTTCCCTCCCAGCAACCAAATTCACTTTGTGTCTCTATAAAGTTGCCTATTTTGGACCATTCATATGAGAAGAATCTTATAATATGTGGTTTTGTAATGGCCTCTCTGACTTAAAATAACGTTTTCAAGGGCCATCCATGTGGTAGCATACATCAGTACTTGGTTTTCTTTTGTGCTGAACAATATTCCATTGTAGGGATGTACTACATTTTGTTCATTTATCAGTGATGGACATTTGGTTGTTACTATCTTTTGGCTCCTATGAATAATGCTTCTGTGAACATTCATGCTCAGGTCTTTCTATAGATGTACGTTTTTGTTTTTCTTGGATACATCCCTAGGAGTGGAATTTCTAGATTATTTGGTAACAGTATGTTTAAGATTTTGAGGAACTGTCAAACTGTTTTCCAAAGAGACTAGACCATCTTCCATCTCTACCGGCAATGTCGAAGGGTTCCAATTTCTTCACATTCTCATAGCCGTCATTTTTAAAGAAAGAATGAAACAGAAAAACATCAGAGGATCTCATGCAAACATAAACATCGTTTCATAAAAAATTGAGAAATAGGCTGGGCACGGTGGCTCATGCCTGTAATCCCAGCACTTTGGGAGACCGAGGCAGGCAGATCATGAGTTCAGGAGATCAAGACCAGCCTGCTTAACATGGTGACACCCCGTCTCTACTAAAAATACAAAAACTAGCTGGGCGTGGTGGTGCACACCTGTAATCCCAGCTACTCAGGAGGCTGAGGCAGGAGAATCTCTGGAACCCGGGAGGCAGAAGTTGCGGTGAGCCGAGATGGTCCACTATACTCCAGTCTGGGCAACAGAGTGAGATTCTATCTCAAAAAAAAAAAAAAAGTTGAGATATAGACCTGACTTGCAGTATAATATGTATTTCTTAATGTGCATTATGGCCAACCTTAGAAGACATACAGGAAACACTGGAAGGAACTTTCAACCTGTGCCCCTCTAAGGTTCAAGTCCCCTGTCCTTAAAAATCTGTTTGGGAGCTCCCAAAATCTCTGCTTTGGGGAATTTTGGATAACAGTTACACTAAAACCATCAGTTGGATTGTGATGGGTACAAAGGGGTGGAGGTTGGTGTCTTCTGTTCAGGATCTGGAGCTGATGGCACCTTGCTCAGAGCATACTTCCGAACTTGGCTAAGTGAGGCCTGCAAAGTGTCCCTAGGTATTGCTCTTCTCATCACAATTCCCTTGGCAGCCACCCAGTGCATGGTCACACGGTGATGTGGATCGTCCAGGGAGGTAGACATTTAAAGAGTTTCATTTAGTGCACAGGAAGCACTCAATAAGCAGAAGATTTTATTATTAATCTAATTATTATGACTGCAATGATTAGGGGAAGGAAGAAGAGAAGAGAGCTAATAGTGACCTACATAGTCACATACTCTTATTCTTACTTATTTACCCACCACATATATACTGTGTGTGGAGCTGGAAGAGATGGAAAAATAGAAGCATGAGGCATATGGCATGAACTAGACCCAGGAGAAATGTATAGTCTGGCTGAGGGAGATGGAGTTTGTGCACATGAAGAGATTAAAAGAAAATCTAAGACAGAATATAACGAGCTGGCGAAGTGTGGTAGGTGCAGGAATCACCTGCTGCGAGAAACTGGGAGCAGGAGACAGTTCTTAGGGAAGGTTGGATCTCAGAGGAGCGACTTCATGGAGACACACAATTAAAATCCAGACGTTTAATGCTCCTAAGCAGCAACCTTCTTTCCCTCTCTGACGCCATCCAAAAAGAGTTCTTCCCGAGTGTCCTGAATATGTTGGCATTACAGAAAGTGGTAGAAATCCTTATAACAGCAATGATTGCCATGCACCAGTGCTTACTCTGTGCCAGACAGGGTGAGCCAGAGGCCTACGAATGTTAGCTTGAGTAATCTCCCAACTACCTACAGGAGGCTACTACTATCATTATTCCCATTTTGCAGATGAGAAAACTGAGGCTTAGAGAGTTGTCAGTTGCCCAAGGTCGCAAAACTGCTCAGAGGTAACACTGGGATTAAAAGGCAAGGCAGGTCTGTCGGTCTGACTTCAGGTGCTGTGCTCCTAACTTGCTGTGCATGGCAGAGCTGAGAGCTGAACTGTCTTCTTGGCTAGGTCCCTGAGACAGGACTTAAAGAATCTTTATGACCTGGTTCTTGTTGTTAAATAATTGCTGATTCTACTTGTTCCTCCTGGGGTCTGGGAAAAGCTATTTTTAACTTGGAGTTCTCAATACCTCTTAAATAATCCTGAGAAATCTCTATTTTGGTTGTTGGGTTTTTTATATGTATATATATTTCTATAGAAAAGAAATCTTGCTGCTATATATTGTTATGACATCTTGAAAAGATATAACATTCATTCTATTTTTGATCACCAATTTATTTCTAATCTGAAGATATTGCCAAGAAATCATTTTTCAAAATCTATCTTAATCAGAGAGCTTCCTGTAGTCCCTCCACAAGAAAGAGTAGTAGTATTTTCAGATCTCTATGAAGTCTATAAACAGAAAAAAATGCATTGTCTAATTGAAAGTGACTTTGGCAAAGGCCATCATCTTCCTATTATCAAGTCTCCAAACACTCTGGGGGCTTTCAGAAAAGAACAAAGAGACTAACTGGGTCGGGAATCCCATAAGGCAGTCCCCAGACCTAGCCTTCGAACTGGCTGACAGTGACCAAGAAAAATGCCTAAAGGATGGGCTGGAAGCGGACATTGTGGTCCCTTCAGCTGAACCTTGAAATGGCTCATCTCTGCATGGTCCTGCCATTGGGCAAGTACATGCCTTCCGCTTCTTGGAAAATACTTTGCAATGTCTTGCTGCTACTCACATGTAGAAGAAATTTCTTCTTATTTTTTTTTTCTTTTTGACAATGTAGTCTCAACCAGTGGTTGCGATTCTTAAACTTAGCTGAGCCCACAAAGGAGCTCATGAAGGAGCTCGTCTCTAGAGATTTTGGCCAGCAACTCCTGGAGAGTTCCATGCTAGTGGTCCGATGATCTCACTTGAAGAACCACTGGCCTAATTTCCTACTGCTGTTCTTGGTCTACTTTCTTGTCTTAAAATACTGCCCTTCATATGCGATTGGAAAACTAGATTATTATTATTCCTCCTCCTCCTCCTTCTCCTCTTCGCCTCCTCCTCCTCCCCTCCCCTCCCCTCCTCTCTTCTCCTCCTCCCCTCCTCTCTTTCCTCTCTTCTCCACTCCTCCTCCTCCCCTCCTCTCCTCTCCTCCTCCCCTCCCCTCCCCTCCCCTCCTCTCCTCCTCCCCTCCCATCCCCTCCTCTCTCCTCCTCCTCCCCTC